CTGCACTGAAGTTCTTGCACAGACTCTGCCATGCTCCTGAAGAGATCAATTTTCTGTAGAACAGTTGTAATCCATTCCCAACACACTAATGTGCCAATGCACACCCACGGCAAAGCTCTGCAATGTAACTTTTTGTTTTATTCCTGTGTCACTGCTATGGGATTTCTTGGGATAGCCACTATTCCCAGAGCAAAGACATGTTCCTGTGGAATGGGGCTCACTAGAATTGTGTAAATCATCTTCTACCGTGGCCTGATATAGAATCACAGGGGACTGTGGTGGGCAAAAGTCATTGATAGTAGGAAAATGTAAAATTGGATTAAAAAGTATCTCCTGCCAGAACACTGCTGGGTGTTAGATTTTGCCTTTTTTTTAAAAAAAAAGGTCTTAAGTTAATATTTTAACAAAGAATTGTCTTGTAATCTCTTTGTATTAGTTAGGGGTTTTTGGTTGTAGGTACAGAAGTGGATTCTGGCAAAATTAATGAGAGAGGGAGAGAGAGGGAGGGGGATAGACAGGGACAGAGCCAGAAGAGACAGAGAGAAGAATCTATTTGAAAGGGTATGAGGATGTGCCAAGAAACAAAAGAAAGGAGAGAAGTCAGAGGGGCACTTCTGAGAATTGAGGGGCTGGTGTTAATTGCTATTCTCTCTGCTTCTGCCATGAATCAACACTAAGAATTTTCTGGCTCACTATCACTCCCCTCGCAATTCAGATTCCTGAGGAATAGAGTCCAGTTGTTTACATTTGGCTCACCCTCCACCCCCTCACTTGGCCTGGAAAGGGCCGAGCACCTGCCTGGCAGGCCCAGCTTTGACTGCGAGGGTGGGACAGTTCATCATGAAAACTCAAGAAACTGTCACAGGAAGAAGGAACAATGGATCTTGAACAAACAGAAACAAGACATGTCCACTTTATCATTCTAACTCCATTTGTAGGTGAAGAAACCAAGTCCCGGAGGTAAAATGTTCTTCTCCACGGCCATGTAATTAGTCCATGACGAGGGCATAGCTAAAACACCGCTTTCCCACCTTCCAGGACTTCCCTCATTTCAGTACTTCCGCTGTCTCACACATCTGCATATTCAGTTCTTTCAGAGCTCCCTCTTTTAGGAAAATGCAATAAAATCTTACATTATCTCCTCAAAATGCTGGGGAGTGGGCTAATGTCTGGGAAATACATTACTAAATTAAATATACTTCTTTATGACCTTAAAAATAAATGGCATACAAATAACCTGAAGATAAATAGTTGCCAAGAAGGTGAAAAAGAGTTTGTATTTGGCTGCGGGCGCCCTAAACCGAAACATGGGAAAACTGCTTCTTTCTTTTCTCAAGAGTCTGACAGTTTTAATGATGATGTCAAGTGCATTTTCAGGCATATTTTTTTCAGGTTATTTGTGCTGTGAAGTCCTCTGTCTCGTGAAATGTCAGAGCCCTGCTTTTCAGCGGATGCCACTTTTTTCATTTGAATGCACTGGAACAGGATTTCTACGGAAAATATTCAAGTTCTGTGAGGCACATTAAATTGATTTTAATGCCACTATTTTTACGAGGACCTGTAACTAGCGTACTTGAAGTAATATTCAACATACAGGTTCTGCCCTTGGCCTAACATGGATTTACCTGGTGAGAGGGGGATGGAGCACAATTTTTTAGTCCAGGAATGTCCTCTAGTAGCCTCAGCGCTGTAAGTGACTTGAATGTCAATTCCCCCCAAGACCTTCCTTGGCCACCACACTTAAGAAGTTTCTCATAGTAATTGCAACTGCATCCTAATTGTTTCTCTAGTAGCGTATATCACAAGATGTAATTATATGTTTGTTAAGAAAGACAACATGTGTGGCCCTTAATATCACAGAGCTTGGAGCAACCTACTGGGTTCAAAATCTCAGCTTCACTAATTATTATAGTTGTTGCTTTTGCACACAATACCTTACCTCTTTGAGTCTCGTTTTCTTTAACTGAAAAATGTGACAACAGTCGTACCCAGTTCTTATGGATGTTGTGAGAATTAAAAGAGGTAACATGTGCAAAGCATTTTTAACAGTGCCTTGTCCATAGTAAGCATCATGTGAGTGTTTTCTCTTGTAATGACTAATTTATTGTCTATGTCTCTCTCCTCTCCACCTGGATTAGGCCGTGAGTTCTCTTAGGGCAGGAAACATACTTATTCATTTCTCCAATGGGTATCCAGTGAGAAAATTGCCCCTTACATAGTGGGGGATCATTCAATATTTGTAGGTTGAATGGATGGACAGATGAATGGACAGACTAGTTTTATAAGTCACCGAGTGCTTTCACGTATATCGTCACATTTGAGCTACAGAGCATGGCTGGCAGACAGTGCCAATATTTTTCTCATTTTACATATTAGGAAACTGAAGCTTGGGGATACGAAGTGACTTGCTCAAGAGCAGTTCAAACATAACAAATCCTGGGTTTGAACTCAGGTCTTCTGACTCCAAATCTCATTCTCCTCTGGTTCAACTTTTTTATTTATTTTTTTCCATCTCACAATCCTGTCTACAAGACATTTTTATAAAAAGAGAAATAATTTGCCTTGCTCATTGCATTGTTTTGAGCACCAAAATTTAAAGTAGGTAAGGGGCTGACCTGGTGGCCTAATGGTTAAGTTTAGCACGCTTCACTTTGGCAGCCCAGGTTTGGTTACTAAGTGCAGACCTACACTACTTATCAGCTGTCATGCTGTGGTGGTGACCCACATACAAAATAGAGGAAGATTGGCACAGGTGTTAGCTCAGGGCAAATCTTCCTCCACAAAACAAAAAAAAAGTTAAAGTAGGTAAAATACATCAGACTGTTACTCCAATGTAAGCCATTGTTATTGTGTTTAGTATTTAGGGGATTGCATAAAGTAGCTTGATTCTTTTGTGAAGTGACTTTAAATGGGAAAAAGAATATAAAAAAAGAAAAAAGGACAGAAAGAAGGAGAATCTGAGTAAGGGAGGGATAAAGATTTATACTAGGAATTGACTTTGAATTCGGAAGCTTTTCCTGACTCTAGCTGGTCAGATCACCTAGAGAGGAAAAGAGAGTACCCTTCTGATGTTTCAATAATGTCTTGAATAACCAAGGTGTAGTCAGCATGCATCTCTGGTATTTTATCACATATTTTCAGTTCTTGGCTAATAAAATTAGGGAGCTATCATTTTAGCCTTATGTTTTATCTCCTTTTTATACAGAAACTCTGAGTTTCCAGGAAGATAAAGTCAGACATTTTCTAACTTGTTTTTTTACCTTTACCAAGAATTATAAATTTTATTGAGTACTAAGAAAGTTGAAAAAAGGAAACACACTCTTACAAGGTAACTCTGGTGGTAACGAGAAGTATAGTTACTGATTAATAACATGATAATTAACAAACTAACAGTTCTTGAACATTTAGTGTGCGGAAGAAACTATGCTACACAATTTTATGTGCATCATTTAACTTAATTGATTCATTCACTTCTTCAACAACAAGGTTTACTGAACATCTACTATTTGCCAGGCACACTTCTAATTACTAGAGATATAATGATGAAAAAGTGCTTGCCTTTGTAGAGCTTACACTCCAGTGGCAGAGAAAGGCAATGAAGAAACTGACCAAGAAATACTTGATAAACTATCAGATAGTGAGCAATTCTATACAGAAAAACAAAATAATGTGAAAGAACAAAGAGTAATGGAGGCCTGGGGTGATTGATGCTGCTTAGGCAGAGTGAGGGGTCGAAGACACCTTCCCTGAGGAGTTTAAATATGAGCAAAGGTATGAACTACGTGAGAAGTTAAGCCATGCAATGTTGGCAGAACAGCATTCCTGGACAAAGGAACAGTAAGCACAAAGTCCCTGAGGCAGTAAAAAGCTAGACTGGGATTGCCAGACCATTAAGGCACCGAGCAATATGAATGAGGTCCCTGAATCAGGCAAGGTCCTCGGGTAGGGCTTTGAGGAAGAGCTGAGGAGTCTGGGTTTTCTCCTGAATGTGATGGTGAGCGCTTGGAGGGTTTGGGCAGAGGAATGACACAGCTGGATATACTTTTTTCCAGCTGTTGTATAGGGAATGCTACAGGGGTAGCAAGGGTGGAAGCTAGCAGAACAGTTAGGAGGCTGTTGTGTCAGTCCAGGCAAGAGATGGTGGTCTCTGTGGAGCGTGGAGGATGGGGCCAAGTAGTCAGCTCTGGAAGATAACACAGCTCCCTTCTGATTATTTCCATTTTCTAAGTAAACTGAGAGTTGAAGTCCTTAGCTGAGAATGACGAGATTTGAAGAGAGACAAGGTGTGAGTTGGGCCTCAGAGAGACAGAAAGTGAACAGACTATGGAAAAACACTAGCATCGTGGGGTAGTGGGGCCTACTTAAAGTTTGTGGTTACGGGTCTAATGTGAGACAAAACTACATGGTTGTGTGTTCTTCTCACACCATTTTCAGTTGTTCTGGTAAGGGCAAAGAAGTGGGTTTAACTGGGGCTGAGATTTTGCCAGGTGAGTGTGGGGAGTAGGGGCAGGAGGTGGGGGGCGAATGAGGGATTGTACCGCTGAACTCTGGAACTCAAGGCTGGGAGAGCAGAGCGAGGGCGTGAGGGGGCAGGGACAGTGAAATGTGGACTTTGGCGGGTGGGATTTTCCCCAGGCTGCCAGATGTCTTTTGGAGTATGTTATGGACCGAATCACAAAGTTGAGACCAGCCATTCACACCAACAACAGGATGAAGGACTTGATTTAGGTTAATGTGTGAAGCAGTGCTTCCTGTATGGTTATGACTGTAATACTGGCGTTGTTCTGGGGGTGTGAAGGTTGAGGTTAGAACCTGGTCTCCGGGGTAAATGAGGACGCCCACACATCCGCCTCCCGTGGTGCGGGGAACCCTCACCATTCCCAGACAGCTGAGTGTTTATCAGCAGGTGCGTCAGTGTTTGGGGAGCCAGGGAGTCCCCTGGCAGAGAATCCTCAGAAGGGGAGGTCATTCCTGGGGAGCAGCCAGCTCTCAATGAGTTCCCACAGCGGCCTGCTTTTCGGAATGAGATCCAAGTTTTAATTTCGCACAGTGGGAGGTCGGTTCTCGCTGCCGAGGGTCAGCGCGCAGAGGCTGGGCTTCTGCTCTCCAGCAACCCTCCAGTTAGTGTTCCTAGGATGACCCAGGAGGCTTCCCGGGGGGCGTGGGTGCCTTAGTTCCTCAGGCTCACTGCTGCAGAATCCAGGGGTGCGTTCCCCTTTTCTGATTCTTGACGTCAAACTCCCACAGCCCCGAAGCCTCGCCAGGGCGGTGGAGAGGAGAGGGAGGGTGGCGGGGAGGGGAAGCCATTGCAGCAACAGCTTGGAGGAGGTCGCTGGACGACTCTTCGCGGAGAGCGGAGAAAAACAGGGAGTGGAAGCCAGAGTCGGGGAGGAAGAGGACCTGCGGGTCCGGGGAGCCGCTGGGTTGCTGCAAAGCGGGGCGGGGAGAGGCGGGGGCGCTGCATGCGGCGCGCTGGCTCCAGCGGCGCCCGCGGGGAATGTGACATCAGCGGCGCCGGGCGCTTGCGGCTGCAGGAGGCAGCTCGCCTCGGCTGCGCTGTGCACACCTCGCCCGGGGGAGGACGCAGACCCGGGCAGGCGGCCGGGATGTCGGCGAAGGAGAGGCCAAAGGGCAAAGTGATCAAGGACAGCGTCACCCTCCTGCCCTGCTTTTATTTCGTCGAGGTGAGTTGGCCTTGGCATAATGCAGCTCCTCCGGGCAGCTCCGGGGCGAATTCCGGTCTTGGAGGGTGTCACAGGCGCGGAGACAGTGCCAGGGCGCGCGCCGCTGCCCCCAAATGCCCGACCCTCCCCTCTCCCCCAGGGTTCTCTGGAGCTCCCCGAGTGTGCCTGCGAGTGCCCGCGCGCCTGGGTGATCACCACTAGCGGTGTACCTGCTGGGTGCCCTGGAGGGAAGGGATACCTGTGTGAGTGAGTGTGGGGCTAGTTCCCTGGCCCTCCTGTCGCGCCTGTGTGCACCGCGTCCGTGGCCCAGAGGGGCCATGATGCCGATATTTTGGGATTTGTGTCTTCAATCCGCAAGTACGTGTCTAGAACTCCGTGAGCTTTTGATAAGAAAATAAATGCACACAGCCATGCCCGGGGTGTATGAGGGCTGGGATGTTTATATGGCATTAGGATTATGATTGCTTTATTACAAAACAAAAACAAAAAATCCCTTCCCCTATTATAATTACTATGTTGCTCACATCTGCTTCTAAAATCGGGTCTGCATCTGTAGGCATCAATGGCCTTTTTCATGGTTAGCAAAAATTATACATATACACATACATATGAATATGTACGTGTACATATATATGTGTATATGTATATAGATGTAGTGTGTATAATATTTTTAAAATAAGTGACATCATCTGATTTTACATGATTTGTACATGTGCATTTATTCTGTGCCGAGCTGTATTACAGATAAACAATTAACATGCAGATGTATTTATAATGAACTTCCAACTTACCAAAATGCAGTATTTAAGGGAGGGACAATTTATGGGAGGGTTATAAAGATTGACAGGTACAGTGATTCCATGCATTGTGGTCCATTGCATTAGGAAGACATTTTTAAGCAAGAGGTTTATTAAATCGTAGGCAGAAAATAGATGCGTTGGGCAGGTGTAGTGAAATCAGATGGTTTTAGGCATGCAACTGTGTTCTGTGTAATTAGAGCCTGTATTGCATAGAGAATTATAAGATTGTTGCTGAATTGTAACTATCCTTTCTTGGCCATCTTTTCAGCCAAATATGGAGGTTTAGCACTTCCGAGTATAGACAGTAGATTCTGTATTTGATGATTTTGAGGCTTAACCGTGTTCGGGGATAGTCACTGCCTTGAAACTTGGGGGAAGGGACATTGTCAGATTATTCTTGTAGATAACAGTATATTTGCAAGTTTCTCTTATGTGTCATAAGTTTTAAAAATGGTTTCAGATTTAAGAAACATGTATATGACTTGCATAAATCTCAGGGAAATGATGGATGACTCCTTCATCCATGACCCATAGAAAAGAAGGAAAATAAATGTCCTGTTTATTTAAAGTAATTAATTGATGCATTTATTTTTGCCCTTCGTCTTTACACATGGGGTTTTGAGGCCATGGTTTAGGTAATTTTGTTGAAAGATAATAAAGAGTTTTCTCAAGAAAAATGTGCTCAGCAGAAGAATCCATGATGAAAACAGTGAAGGAATAGAAAGATGGGATACCTGCCTTCAAGTTAAATCCTGTCAGGCCACTTGTCGCATCGCTAATCCACAGTGGTTTTGTCCTGAAGCATGTCTGGATCTATTACATTGGACTAGGATAAATCAGTTAATTGCTGGGTTCCACCTCCAGGACGAAGCACACCTGAGGTCTGTTAAAAGTAGACGACGTATAGATTGCAGCTGTATGGCTTCAAGAAAAATTCTTTCATGAAAGAGGATGCAAATCAGAGAATTAAGGGTATGCCGTTAAAGAACCTGTGTGCCCTTTTGAGGTGCTCTTAAGAGGGGTACATGTCCCTCAATCTAGAATTTTAGAAGTAAAAATGCCTCACGATGCATTTGAAATGTATCTCTAGGAACAAACATCTCACAAATGTTACTTCTTTTCTGTGAGCGGAAGTAGCCCCAAAGCATTACAGTCTCTTTGACCCATTCAGATACTCTTTACTCTTTAGCAGGGCAAGCTATAGAACAGTTAAGTGAAGACGATTCATGGAGTTTAAATGAGCATTTGTGACATTATGTCTTGGAGGGCAACAGACTCCAAAGGGAGAGCCACAAAATTGGATTGCAGATTATCTCCCTGGAACTTAAATGCGTGAGGAACCACTAAAGAGCCTCTAGAAAATGGAAGAAGGCATTAGTATACCAATTGTTTAAGAGGCTGTCAGGATGCAATACCCAGCTCCTTTGGAATGACTCATTTTGAAGCTGGTGAGAATGAGCTTTGTATCTCGTTTGGAGGATGAATAAATATAGCATGAATTAACATTTCAGTAAAATGCTCTAGAGTAATGACACTTTGCTGTACAACATAGTCTCCCAAGACCTCAGTAATTAAAATGGAAGAGTGAAGCATGAGTAAATCTCTTCCATCACATATCAGCCCAAAGCACATATTTCAAGCCTTCTCTGTTACTTCACACAATAATTTAAGTAACAAAAAGAGGCGTAAAGGACTAGATATTTGAGAAGAAAGCAAAATCTCTGGGTCTCAAGTCAGTCACATGATGGGTAATTTAAACTTTCTCTTCTTCAAGGAGTTCAGCTGTCTTCCATTGCTATTCATGACAGGTATGAGATGGGAAGAAACTTTAGCTGGGAAAATGAGAGGAAAGCAACTTTCATTTGGACCACAGGGCGCTGATATCAAGTTAGGCTGAATTATGGCAGGAAAAATGGCAGCATGCTTAACAGGGAAAAACCTGGGCCTTATAGACAGATTGACCTGGTTCAAACATCACCTGTGCCAAGTACTACTTGGATACTCCTGGCCTAGGTACTTCTCTCATCCTTGGTTTCTTCATACATAATAGAAATGATAGGCTATAAGGATAAATATATTTATATAATATAAATTATAATACCAATATCTTAGAATTTATTATAAGGTTAAAGCACGTAAGACACCAAGCAAGACGTCTGAGATAGAGTAGTCCCTCAAGATGTATTAGTTCCTTTCCTTTCTCATAACTGCCCTTGACCTGAATGGATTATTTTACTTCTAGGCTAATCTTGAGGGATCAAGTCCTGACAAGGTCTAACTTGGGAGTTCCCACTGTTCAGAAGAAGCCACCTCCTCCCCAATTTCTAGAAGTGGTTTGGGTTCCAGAGCTTTCCCAAAATGGACCTATATTCATGGACCTGAGGTGGGGAGAGTGGAGTGCTCTTTACAGTTTGTACAAGAATAACGGCAATCATTTATGAAGCACTGAATATGTACTAAAAATAAAGCTAAAATGGTTTACATGCTCATTCAGTCTTCAAAGATTCTCATTAAGAAAGAGGCCGTTATTATCCATGTTTCAAAGAAGAAGAAACTGAAACTCATGGAAGTTTCATAGAACCACTTGCCCAGGTTTATAAAGCAAGGTCAGAGGCAGTGCCAGGCGTTAACTCAGAGCACATGCTCTTAACCACTGCGATACCTGTCTCTCTCAGAGTGTTGAAAGATTATTCACATAGGCAAAGGTGCTTCCCATGGTTTCTCACTGGTAAAAATAGGAAGATGTAATCCAAGGTAAGGGCACATTTACAAAGGTAAGGCAGCTTTGCCTGGCAACAGACCAGCTTCCTCAGCTGAGTTCTTCCTCCATAGGGCGCCTCTAAGCACAAAAATTGGTGGACAGTGTACACTCCCCACACTGACTCACTAGTTAGTGGCTAGTGTCACCTCAAGAAGTCCCCATGACAAGGTGCAGTGACAGGATTGGGACACTGGCATCCCTTTTGCAGAGTGTCAGGATATCTCTAGCTATATCCCTATGGGTACGAGGCTGAGGTGTTCAGCCTCTAAAATCAAGTAATCTTGTCCCAGTTCACTACCAAACTCAATGTTAAGCAAACCTAAATTTGATGGATAGAGTGAATTCTTCTTACATCTTTTGGTTTACATCTATTATCTTTACAGCCAATTGTCTGCTGATAAAGGGGTTTATGGTTGACAGTAATTAAATACATCCCTATCACATGGTGATTTGAAAAACACATGATGATTTCCAATATGGTAACTCACTTCATAAACAAGTTTGGTAGTTCAGTTTGGCATTGTTCAACTTGGGAAAAGAAAGGTCAAGTTGTGAAAGGAACTCTCAAACAAGCATATCCTGGGCCTTATCACACTGAGCAGAAAAGCAGGTAAAAAGGAATGTTCCACTGAAGAAAAGATTTCTCCTGCCTTTAAAGTTCCAAAGCACCCTCCAAGTGATGTTGTGTCACCTACAGTGGCAAATGCAGCTGGGAGCACACCTAGAATTAGTAAAACGTCTTTAAGGCTTAATAACCCAATATTATATGTGATAAGGCTGGTTGTCTGTGTACCTAATGCATTTCCTTTATGCAAAGCATTATCATGGTTCCGACTGTGCTCAGACTCAAATTTTATTCTCATGAGTCATCCTGTTCAAAGATATGAGTTCACATCGATTCAGTGTGTAATATAAACAAATGATAGATTACTTTTTAAACCAAAAAGATATAAATTCTTAATAAATAATAGAACCTTTTATTTAAACACTCTGCTTTATGACATACACTTTTATTACTAATCTAATGTTTACTTTAAGGCGGTATATGCAAAGAGGACCTATATGCAAAGAGATTTTTTACAGGGCTATGGATACAGAGAGCTTGAAATGTCTTGCTTTTCTTACATACACACACACACACCTACACACACGCGCGTGCACTCATAGGCAGGCACAGAGGGAGTGAGAATATCAGCCCTCTCCAATAAGTGTAAAATAACAATATCTGAAGCATTACAGATTCAGAATATTTTAAACACAACAGACCTGAAATTATACAGGATGTTTTCACTAGTTTGAATGTTGTACTTAGCGATGGATATGTTTTAGGATTTTGTTAATGCAGGTTAATCGCTATGGGGTCAGTAGGTAGACAATGTGTTCAGGAGTAAAAGCCATTGTTTCTATGTTGCCATCCTCCCTGGAGAAGTTCAAAAAGC